CAATCCAGAAAAACACCAGAGGATCAGCAAGGGAAAGTGTGTCCACTGGGGGGACTCCCTGGGGGTAGAAAGTGCTCTGTTATTTTTAATTTGGTATTCAGTCTCAACCTAACTCTTCACATATCTGGGATCCTGATGGCTTATTTGAAATTCTGTTCTACAACCATAATAATGTAGACCGAAGTCCAGAGAGCAATGCAAACATTTTGCATTTAAAACATCATAGCCCGTTTGGTTCAACTAATTACACTTTGCACCATTCCAGCAATGCTAGCTATTAATAGAAATATAGCTTCTGGAGAAGTAAATTAAGGAAAAAGAAGAAAAGTAGGAAAAGTGTCCTGTATAAGTGGCATCAAGGAGAAAGAGGGGAACACTGGAACTATTTGGTACAAGAGAACTTGTTTATTTTTCGATGATGACATTATCCTGTAGTTTATAAGATTAGGATTTGTCATAACTTCCTTTAATTGCAGAGATTATATTGAAAAATCAGATTTTTCTGTAAATAGACCATCTTTTAAACGAACATAACATCTTTCATGAAATAACCTCCGAGCACTTCATAGACCCCAGATCACACGCTTTCAGATGAGACCGTTCTCACCATGCAGGATGTCCTGCTGAGAGCAGGAACCAGAGAATGTAACATCTCACTTGTGTACAAACCTCAAGCTTCATCCAGAAGCAACAAAGCCAACTGCATTGACTTGTGCCAGCAGAGGACCCAGTTATTGCCAGTCTGTGTGTTTAGGAGCAAAATCAACTTGAAAGCTGTGCAGCCACTGTGACATCAGTTTAATGTGTCTTGGGACATCAAATTAGACCGTGCTAAGAAATGTGCTGCTACGTGTATGGGAACAGCTGTTGCATAAGGCACAGAAGCAGTATCCCTGTGATGATGACACAGAACAAGCCATTAGGCACGAGCAGGGAGAGCAGCCACAGCAAGGTGCACACTCATGTTCTCTCCTGTGTGCGTGTCTCATGCTGAACATTGCACATGGATTGGAGCTGGAAGGATTACGTCTTTCTAAATGTGCAATGGAATTCTTACAGTGAGCTTCAGCATCTCTCTATATGCAATTAGGATGCTCCAACAGCATTCAGAGTAAAACAGAAAAACAAATAAAAACAAACAGGAACAATCAAAATAGAGCCAGCAACAGCCCCTGAAAGTCAGCATGGCGCTGAGGATGAGCTGCAGCCCACAAAGCCACCCGTGTCAAACCAACCTTGTTTGATTAGAGAAATTTTGTGGTTGAATTCAGTTAGACAAACACACCCTGCAGCAAGTGATGCCATTTTAACAACGTAAGTATACTCTTGTTTGCATCACAGATGATCTGTTGTTGCATGACAAATCAGATGCCCTCCCTATGATAATTTAGCCAGATCTCTCTTGGCCCAGAAGAGGCACATGTCTGCCTGCATCACACAGGAAACATTTCAGCTCTCTCTGTCAGCACAGCTTTGCCCACATAAAGGCATCACTATGCATGGCAGTGAATTCCTTAGCATCCCTGCCAGTAGCAGAGGTAAGCAGTATCTGACCTGAGCAGCACATGCATGCTAGGCTTGGGCTGGCCCTTCACTGCGTTCCTCTAGCAAAGTTCTTGCCAGCTCTTCAGCTTTGAACTTGCCAACATTAGACTATTTTGATAGTGGGAATGAAAAACCACCGGGCTGCTGAGATACTTTCCTGATCACCTCTGGCAGGGGACAAGATGCAAAGTTTCAGAGGAAGATAAATAATGAGGATGTTCCAGGTTCACGGTGTGCCGCAGCGAAAGGCAACGTTAGTCCAGTTCTGTGTCCAGTTCACAGAAACTGGCTATGCACTGCTGACTTACATAACATCTGTCCTTTTCTGTTGTTGTTCAAGAAACCAAGGCCTCTCTCACATTTACACGTTAACTCCATTGAAGCACAACACCCCTTATCAGCTGGCTCACTGTAACAGCTTTGCTGTGTACAGGTGTTTTCCAGGAAGTTCCCAATGGTACTCCCAGTGCTGGCTGCAGGAGCTGTTATCAATCAACTGCTTCTAACCAGACAATGATATATGCATAACCCTGAAAAGAGTTTGTGTCACGTTGAAAAAGGGAAAGCTGTTTGCCAGAGTTCTCTCCCTGCTCTCGTTCCTTTGACCTCAACCCTCTGCCAGCGCAGGAGCCCCAGGAACACGAGGGATTTAACTTCTACTGCCTCCTCAAGTGTCAGCAAACAGCAGGGTCAGGCCACGCTGACACTGTGAGCTCTAGCATTTCTAAGGTGGACTCTATAGAATTGATCCACCTTTACACTCTGCTTGGAATTTCTGTACGTACATTTCTTGCAGCCCTGCCAGGCATGCTGCTCCACCAGGACAGCACTTTGTGAAGATACCTCAGTCCTCACACCATCTCAGCAGTGACCTCAGGAAGAAGCAGGGAGCTCAAGGAGCTGCCAAAACCCATCCTTTTTGGAAGTGCAGACAGCTGCTGAAGCAGACAAACAGTGCTTCTCATCTTGTGTTGTGTGCAATGCGTGCAAGTAAAAAGCAAGCCAGAAAAAGCCTCATCTCTGACAGTAGGTTTTTCCTGAAGCTCTTGAAGTTTTTAGTAATTTTTCAGTCAGCTGAAGTAAAGATGATTTAATTTTATGTTATGATATAGAAATAAGGGGGAGTGCTGCATGCTGTGTAAAATGGAACTGAGGAGACATCTTCTGAAGTACAGCTCGAAGAGAAGGTAATTATAAAAGGTGGTTAAGACTGTAGAGTCAGTCCTTTACATTTCAGGGCTAATGAATTCCTGATAAGAAATTTCTGAGAAAAAAAAAAAAAAAAAAGAATTGTGGGGCTAATGGAAAAATCCCACATTAACTGGAGAAAGCAATCAGACTTTGTCAAGGAAAGGAAGTCACTCAGCACAGACTGCAATGAGGGAGGGCTGGCAGCAATGTGGTGCTCCAGGCATAGCAGAGCATCCAATGCCCTATGAGAAATAGGAACAAAAAAAAAAAAAAGAATTCACACACAAGAGCACGTGGAGATGTCCAGGCCTCAGTGACCAGCCCATGCCAACCAGACAGAGCCTAAGCCTTACCCCAGACTGCATTCCTTGCACAAGAACTTGCAAAAACTGGTTGCATACAAAAAAAATCCCACCCAAAACAACCAAGAAGAAAAGTGGAAAGACTCACAGCTTATTCTACAGCCCAAGTACCATCAGCACATTACTCAGAAAGGGTCCAAGCAAAGTATCAGGGCAGAAGCACCCACCATCTGTGTTACAGCACCCTGCCCTGGGACCAACCCACCGAGGCAACGTGGGCTTTCCTGGGACCCTCCAAACTCCAATCTGGCAGGATAGCACATGAACTCCTGGTGCTAGGTATGCCTGTCCCTTCTTTATCCCCTCAGCTTTGAAGGGGCCCACTGATGACAAAGCAGTGCAGCTTTGTTGCTGAGCTCACACTTGGTCCTTTCACTGTCCTGTTCCGGCTCTACCAAGTGCTGAAGCACAGCAGCTTCCCTGGGACCAAGCAGCAAAGATCAAAGCTCATTATGTAATTACTTTGCAAACATCTCATCCATATGATAGCTCCACTCCTGGAGAATCTCAGCTGTCCACTTGGCTTTGAGCTTGGGGCTTTCCAACAAAAAACAGTTTGTATTGGTGTTTTTTTCCCCCCTCTTCCTCCAGGTGTCCTGAGGTATTTGAGTGCAGACGGACATCTAGCAGCCCAGGCAGTAACAGAGCTCCAGCATTTATGTGATACTATGCTGCAGGAGACTGTGCACAAAGAACACACATCCTCCATTTGACACAGGGAAAGTCTGAGGGCTTTTTTTTTTTTTTTTTGAAGGCCAGATTTCAATCACCCTCAGTCATTTTCCCCAGCTTAGAATCCAGCTGTTAATTGTAGGTGTTTCATCTTGGCAGGGCTGTGAAGCCAGAGCCAGCCCAGTGGAAATCCCACACCACCAGGCTCTGCAGCAGTTGGCACTTACTGCCTGAATGGAAAGAGCAACAATCGAGCACAAATACTCAAACTCCTCTTTGTTCCTGGTAGGGCTCTTACAAGAGCAGATTGCATTTGTTTTGGCTGGGATGGGAGAGGCAATGCACAGTGCCCAGGTATGAGCTGAATGCAGCACGCAACAGAGGCAGATGTTGTCCTGGCTGTACCCACGTGCACAGGGCTGGAGCACCAGCATAGATGGTTTTATCAGCCAGGGTGAGCTGCTTCCTGGGGCCTTATCGGGCTGCAGGTCAAGGATGGGTGTTTATCAGGACAAGCAACTTTGGCAGTAAATCCTCTGCCTGTGGGTGTGCACAACTAAACCTGCTACCAGAAGCCACCAGTCACACGTAAACATTTAAGCAGTCCAAACACAGACCTATCTCAAATCTGCTCCAGCCTGACCACCAGAACAAAGCACCAGGCAAACAGCAGCACCTTCAGTGCAAGGGCATTTTCCTGCCCTTAGTTCAGAGCACAGCACTAGAGGGCTTAGTGACTTCAGCTACATGACCCATTTCTCCCCACTTTTACACCCATCTGCAAGTCCAAATATTCCACATTGTTGCTTATAGGGCCCATTTGCCTTGACAATCAGTTTCAGCAGGGTCACCTCGTATTCAGTGCTGTGAAACCCCATGCAAGACACTCACCCTCCCCAAGAAGCCCAGGAGCAGAAGCCCTACCACCTGCAGCCCCAGAGGTTTGGTTTCGCTGATAGCACTGCTGCAATCCCAACAGCCTATGGAAAAACAAATGCAGCTGCTGGTCAATAAGTTTGACTGCCTGGCAGGCAGCCCAGGGAGAACAGAAAGAAGGGGACAGAAAAATGCCCTCCATCAGACACTGCTGCAGAGGCCCACCTCCTAGCTGGCTGCCCCCAACCCAAGATTTCTGCATCAGGAAGGGGCTGCTCATCTATCACCATTATGTACAGGTCCTGAATACATCATCTGATCTGCAGCTGAGTTCATTTTCTTTTTTTTTTTTTTCCCCCCTCTCCTTACTGCTCACCCCGACCAAATTTAGTGTGGTTCACCAATTAGTGTGCTTCAGTTTTCATTCTGCTGTGTAAGAAAATCCTCTCTACATTCCTGATTGTAAGAGGAAAGAAGCAAAGGAGAAAGCTCAACAGCATCTCTACCATTGCACCCATAGATGGGCTCACCCAGGTGCTGCAGTCGCACAAAGCGGTCCTGTGCTGCAGCACTGGGAACAGCAACCCAAACCTCCAGAAAGTCAGTAGGAAGATGGATAATCATCAATACTGAATTATTCTGCAGCATTTGTCCAAGGACTCCATGCTTCTCTATGCTGAGTTCAAGTGAGGCCAGGGCCTTGCCACAGCCAGGAACAGAAAGGTGCTTTCCCTTTGCTATCAGCAGCACAGTTACACCCCAACAGCTCAGCGCACACCTGCAGAGCCCAGTCCAGCCCAAACAAGGCCAGAGATAGCGTGCACATGAGCACACACACAGCAAGGACAGGCTGGCAGCCACGTGGCCCTCAGAGTCTGCTGGCAGGTGTTTGTTTGCTCACCCTGGTAACACAGAAAGGCAAGCAGGAAGCAGGTTTGAATTACAATTAAAAGCTGTAATTGCATAGAGGGGCATGGCAGGAGCATGGACCCTACACCTACAGCAGCACCCGAGGTGAGGAGGCCTGACCCGGGTGCCAGCAGGATGTGCACAGCCACCAGATCTCTGCATGCAGAAAAGCATTACATCCCATCAATGAGATGCTGCTCAGTGGCAAAGCAGCACCGGGGCCGTCACCCTTCCCCACAGGCAGCCCAGCATGGATCAGGGTGCAGCTGATGGATGAGCCACCGCAGTGACAGCGCTCGCAGACCACGGTTTTCCATTGCGTCACCGCTACCTTGCTTGACCCAAAGGTTAGGAATAACAGTCTGCTGGGCTGCCAGAACAAAGCTATTTCGGGGCAGGCTCCGGGCTGACTCCCTGCACAGGGCAGCTCCAAGGCGGGCCCAGCAGCAGTCCCAGAGCAGGAGAGTGCTGGGACATGGCTTCAGTGCTGCAGCACAAGGCATATCAAGCACCCAGCACGTGCACCACTGGGCAGAATTAGCACGGCCTTGCAAAACGCTGCCCACCTGAGCATGCATTTTGCTCAAAGAGGGCAGGGCAAACAGGAATTCTCCCATATACTTGGGACCTCAGGAGAAGGAGATTCACTGCTCAGCTGCTCTATCCTGCTTCAGCTTCTGCACGCTCATTTCTAACACAGCCTGAGAAAGCAGCTGCTGCCCACAGCTGGACAGAGGTTTTAAAGCTGCACCACAAACATCTGTCAGACCTCATGTCATGGGCATCTTCCTGCAAATGGCTCCATGGAAGCAGATAGGGAAAAAGAGCAGATGGACACAGCAGTGGAAAAAGGGACAGTTAAAGCAGAGAATTGCTGTAAAACATCTTTACTTTTGTGTGCTCAGAAAAACAGAGCAGTTACAAGCTTGGGTTGAGCATAATGATAACATTTCAGAGAAGTTGAAGCACAACAATGCAAGTAAGTTGGCAAAGACTTCCACTGCTGCTGTGGAAATCTCTCCCCAGAGCTCTGTCAGAAGGCAGGCTTTTGTGGAGCCTCCACAGTTCTTCGCAACTAGCCCATTATTTGGCAGCTTCACAAACAAGCAAAACCATTCTACAGTTCTACCCCGAGTGATGTGAATGTGGGCAGTACAGAGCCCATCAACTCGGAGCAGGACAGTGAGTACCCCAGCACAGAGCTGCAGGATGCAAAACAGTCACACAATTAGTAAAGAACAATGCCCACATATCACCCAACACCATGATTTCCTGTTGCCCTGCCCAAAGCAGCCTCAGATTCAAAGAAGCCATCATTTCCTCCAAACTGTTCAGAGGAAGGGGGAATATTGTTACTGGCGGCCCCCTAATAAGTTCCCTGGTCTGTTCCACAGGCAAAGCATGCCAGGGCCTTCCTAGCTTGGCTCTCTCTGCATTACAGCTGAGCCGGTGATCTGAACAGGACATTTCCACTTCTGAAACTCAGCATACAAACAGGCTTCTGCAATCACAGCTGGTGCTCCCACCTCCAAACTTCTTTTTAACACATCAAGAAACTGATCTCAAACGAGACCCCGAGCTTTCCAGCTGTACCACTTGCGAACTGGGGTTGCTCATCAGACACAGGGTAAGGAGGCCTCTCCCTAGAATGCACGTTTCCTCACATGGAGCCCAAAGAGAAGTCACCACAAACCAAGCAGCACAACCCATAGATCTTGCTGCAGTCCCTTGCAGAGCTTGTGAAGTTCCATCCCCACCGTAACAGAGCAGCCCCGGTGCATATGAAGTGCTAAGCACTGTGAGCTGCTCAGAGCAGGCTGATTGCTGCTCCAGCAACTGCCAGGTCTGGGGGCCATTTTTTTGACCGTTGGGGGCGTGCATCCAAGCTCAAAGCTGTTTTAATAAAAAAACAACAACAGAAAACCAAACCCAGATCCCTCCTGTATCACTGAGGGGTAAACCCACCAGAGCTGGCAGCGTAACACTGAGTTGAGGTTTTCACTGCTGACAGGACTGTAAGTCTCACCAGAGGTTTAGGAGTTTTACTTTATTTCCATCTGAAGACCAGAAAATTGCATGGAGGATGGGGAGCTATGCTGGCAGCTCTTGCAGTAGCTTTGTAGCTCCTGGCCTTGCAATACCAACCTGTATTGCAGAAGACTCTGCTTCCCAGCTAACAGCCTCAACAAATGCCTACAGAAATCCCCCACATACCATCCAGCTTTAATAGCCTCTCCTATTCTTAGCACAAGATTGTATTCTCCTAGCATGCTGCTCTGCCATGTACTCCCTGCTTTTGGCTATCCTATACTCCTCCCTAGCCTGCACCAGCCCATGAGGGCCAGCCAACTGCCCCACCCACAAATGGCAGCAAAAAGCAAGTAAGCGATCCACAACACTGAGCTTACCAGGAACTGCTGGAACACAGAGAGCCAGACAAGCTCCTTGCACAAGGCATCCCCCAGGCTTGATGCTGGGTTCAGCCTGGTCCTACACCACGTGCACCCGGCAGAGGAGATGGAAAAAGCAAAGCGGTGGGGCTGGAGGCAGGGCTGGGATTTGTCCTCTCCCACATAGTCACCTGAGAAGCAAAAACCATCACTAAAAGCTACAGCAAAGCAGAAAAATGCTAGAAACACCTACCCATCTGCTCATATAGGGCATTAAGCTGAGCTGCTCACCTGAGTTATGGAGCTGAGCCCCAGCACCTGCTCTCCTGCCCACAGCTGTGCAAGGGCAATTGCTGGTTAAACCTGGGGGAGAGAACTTTCATCTTTAACCAATCAAAATGACTCGTCTTAGCAAAACCTCCTGGGATAAGGGCTGAGTGTTCCCTTCCCCGGGGCTGTGGGAGGCAGCAGCCCGTGTTACAAACACACCTGATGTGTGATTTGAATTAGAGGACAGAGGAAACCTTCTTGCAGCCTTACTGTTTTTCTCAAGCTGCTGAACACGTCATGTCTGAGATGAATTGTTCTTAATGTTATTATTTTTACTTTCAATTCAGACATTGCTATAGCTTTGGCTTTTGAAAACCGCTGCTGCCCACCTTACTTTTTCATCTTTTTTTTTCTTTTTCCTTTTGTTTTCGTTTTTCTTTTTTCTATTTTTTCTCTTTTCTCTGTCTTCTTCCCCCTTCTCCCCCCCCGCTCCGCTCCGCGCTGTGCCGGTTGGGGCGGGCAGTGCCGGGGCTCTGCTGCCCTCCGGCGGCCGCACGGGTCCGTCCCGTGGGGATGGACACACGGACAGAGGCCGGCAGCCCCTCTGCTTGCTGCTTAGCCCCGCCGCCCTGCTCGCTTTTGGATCAAAACCACCGTAGCTTTGACCCCCCCTGCAGCATCCCCACGAGGGGAAATGTCACGGTGGCTCTGCCCAGCACAACGGCACGATGACCCAGTCAGGTCCTCAGCAGGTTTGGCCTTGGTACCTCTGCATCCCACTGGATCTGGAGGAGCCTTTCTGCCACCTTGCCCTCCACCGGCACCAGAGGGATGCCCAGGCACAGCCGAAACCTTGGGTTCCTTCCCAGCCCACTGCTGAGAGCTCTTGGCACAACAGTGTCTTTGTGCTGTGGACATCTGCTCCCAATGCCCCGGCCCTCCAGCTGTGACCCTTGGGCAGCACCGACCCCGCTGCCCGACCTCATGCTGAACCAATGGGCTCCCAGGGAGACTCTCTGGCTGTTATTTTCATCCCGGGGAATGTGATCATCTCACATCAGCACCCAGGGCTCACAGAGCAGTATGGCAGCACGGCGGGGCGTCCCGGTTGGCTTTTGTCCCATTGCGTTGGGTACCAGCAGCATCACAAGCGTGCTGCAAGATAGCAGTTTGCAGTGGAGGCTCAGCAGGATATTTTCAATGTCAGCAGGGACCAACAGGGGACAAAGGTGGGCCTGGTGTGATCACCACGCCGCATGGTTACATGCTCTGTGGTTGACTGTGCATCACTTGGGGTGGATTTCAATGGCTTTATACTCTGAATCCAAGGATACATTCAATAAGACATTTGCTTGGCATAGAACAGGGCTGTCCCTCCCTGCCTGCCCTCAGCTTGAGCAGCACATAGACACACTGGGACAGCTCATCCTTCAGCACAGAGCTACCGAGTGCCCTGTCCATTCAGCCATGAGTCACAATAACAATATTTCGTACTCATCTTCTCGAGGGGAACATTAAAAGCCACTGAAATGTTATTTATTATCTGCAGCCAGAGTCAGGAGGCAACTGTGTGCTCCTCCTGTGCTGATGAATGTGTCCAAAGGGACCTCAGAAAGAGCCTGATCCAGAACTGCATTGAGAGGATGCTGCCATCTGAGCAGGCAGGGATGCACCAGTGCAGCAAGGGATGCCCCAGGCGGTCACTGTGGCCTCACTGTATGAGTGAGACCAAGTCAAGGACCTTCCTAATGCAGCTCTTGATCTCACATCTGTCGCTCCAAACCCGTGGCTGAGGCACCAGGAGGAGCTTAAGGCTGACTGCATGCATTCCTCCTCCCCACAGCCCATCCTCTGTGGTGCATCCAGCTATGACAGCAACACAAATCCATCCATTTCAATCCCTCCCAAAATGTAAAACAGCATGAGGCAGAAGCTCCAAGAGCAGAGGAATTCCGGTGCAGGGATGAGGCTGTTGGGGTGACGTCATGGTGTCCTGTTGGTAAGGCTGTGCCCAAGCCTGAGCAGCCAGCACCTTACTGAAGGTGGCAGGCTTGATCCAGCAGAGGACTGGGAGCTCTGTGTGTAGGCAGCCAAGGTTTATTAGAGAAACTGTTAAACTCAAAAGACTTGGATACAAAGATAAGCTGCGTTGCCTTCTGAAAGGCAAAGCTGTTTCTGACCTGTAGAATGGACACAGGTTACCCAGACATCAGTTACCATGGCGGATCGGACAACAAAACAATCACCTTGCAGTTAGTCTTCGTGGTGTCAGAGTTTCTTTCTACCCAGTACATCCAATGGGATGTGTATGTCATGGCAGCACAGCCCGTCCTACTGACCAGCACTGTCCCCACTTGACCACAGCAGCACTTCCCTCCCTCCTCTGCAGCGTTCGGCATCCAAAGCTACACATCTCTATGGAACAGTTCTAAATGCAACACTGGGCTGCTCTCATCTTCAGCTGGATGGGGGAATAAGAAGGTGCAGAACTCGAAATCTGTTGTTAGACCTTTAACTAAAATTAAAAACAAACAAACAAACTAAAAACAGCCACTGTTCACTTCTCATGGAGAATTCAAAACCTTCACCAGCATGTTCCTAGGAATGTTTTTCTGCTTGCAACACTCAGCTGCACGGGATCGCATCCACCCGCCGTCCTGGAGCACCGCTGTCCTGTCCGCGGGGTGAGGTGTCATAGGGCCACACGCAGCAGTGCTGCAGCCCAGAGCAGCGTGAGGCCGGCCGGCAGTCTGAGCACAAAGCAGGCCCGCAGCGGCTCGGAGGCCGAGGTGCAGGAGCAGACCTCATAGCTGTTCTCTGAGCGGCTCTGGTCGTGCTGCCCGGGCTTGGAGCGTGCTCCAATCCTGCTGCTGCCCGCTGCCTCCGGGGCGTCCGCCTGCATGTCGCTGCACACCAGCCAGTCCCTGGCGATGGACTGGGGGTAGCCAGGCTCTGCCTCCAGCTCGCTGTCCAGCACTCGCCAGTACTCCTTGCCCCTGAAGAAGTAGCTTGCACCTGGGAAAAGAGATGTTTCCCTTTACCAACACTTTTGTTTGCTCAGGTTTTCATGCATCTGGCTCAGAATCCAACAACACTCTCAGTGAAGCGCAAACCAGCAGATATCAGGAGACCACAGAACAACATCAGCTGTGTTCTGCTAATGAAACCAAATTATGTGGCACCCAGGCACTTTTGATCCCTGCAATGACAGTGCTGCTCAGTGAGCAGAGGAAGCTGTGGCTCAGAGCCTGCCTCTCTTTCTGCAGCTTTTGGATGGAGGAAGTGCCAGCCTGTCTGGGACATGGGGCTGTATCCCAGAGCATTGCTTTTTTCCTCACTTTTTGGACCCGTCTCACGGACTCACCATCTGACCATCTCATAGCATCATCTAAAGGGCTCGGTATTCCCTTCCATGGAATGGTCTCTGAGGGGTACCCGGTGTCCATCCTCCTCTCATGGTCATCGTAGCGCCAGCAGAGGTTGTCCTTAAAGAAATAAGTCTTGTCATTGTGGGCCCAGGAGAAGGCGGCATCGATCCCTCCCGGTGGCAGCCCGAAGTCCGAGATGGGCCTTGGGTATCCTTCCTCCACGTTGTTGTCCTTGAACACCCAGTATCTGTCCCCTGAGGAAAGGAGAGAAGCGTGGAGAATGATCACATCAGTTTCACAGTCGGGGCTGGCCTTCCCTGCAACTTTGTTACGTATTGCCATGACAACCCTCTGCTGGGCTCTTGGCACCAGATGAGGTCGGAGGGGAGCAACCCGCTGGGACAGCTGCTGGGCTGGTGCTGGGCTGCCCAGCTGGGGATCCTCATGGTCACAGAACAGGTCCGCAACCCTCCTCTCCCACTTCATATCCTGCCATGGGGACAGGCACTCAGTCAGCATGAGGTCTCTGGGGAGACACCCTGCCTGCTTTAAAGGGCAGGCTTTTGCCTTCATTTTCTAGAAAACGTGAAGAAGCACTTAAACAGCAGCAGAGACTTGAAAGCCAGAGTAATTTGTGTGCTTTGGTTTGTATCCAGGGATCGATGAAATGATGCTGGAGAGTGAGAATGAGGCAGTGTTTTATGGCTGGAGAGTAAACCTCTCGTTCCGTCATCACAGGCAGGATGAAGAGCAGCACTGAGGGCTGCGTGGGAGGGCAGGGGGGAAAGGAACGGGGATAGCATGGATCCAGCAGGCAATGAGGGCTGGGGAAAGCATGGCCCTGCTGAGAGGTCTGATGGGGTCCCATGGTCCCCTCGGGAAACACTTCCCTGAACACCGAGGTGGTGTGAGATCCTCTACTGAGCTCTGTACAGCCTGGCTCTGGTGATTCAGCACTTCTGAAATCAGTAATTCACCCCAGCTTGCAGCCCAGCAGCAGACAAAATGCAATTTCCAGCACTGCCGACTCCATGGCCGCTGCCTGCCCGCAGGGCCCTGCTGGCACAGGAGGGACGTGCTGGGGCAGTGGCATCATGCAGCTTCAGCCATGGCTGTGGCACACCTGGGATGCTCAGAGGATGTTGGTTTAGGACCCGAGAGCTAATCTCTCTCCTCCAGCTCTTGCAGGAGAAACTGGAGAGCTCTTTTTTTAAAAAAAAGAGAGGATTATATCATTTATGGTAAGAAAAAATAAAGTAGCAGAAATATAACTAGCAAAATCAAGCTCTTCAGGTTCTCATTCTTGTCCCCTCTGTGATTTCTTTTCAAAAAGACAAAAGGCAGGCTCTGGAAAGTGTAAGCAGGGAGTGTTTTATCCTTCTGTTTTGCTCCCCAAAAGCATAGATTTCCATTAGGTTTGGCTGGAGTGTAATTTCCCCCATGTCCTGCACGACACTCTGCCTGCTTTCCCCTGGTGCCTCCTGCCCCAGTGTGGGCAACACCTGGACCTGTGCTGGGAGAAGGTGGGCCCTGGGGTCTCTGCAGGAACAGAGCCATGCTGTATGGCTGTGTACTGGGGGCACACACGGTTGCTTGCTCTCACCTTTGAAGAACACAATCTTGTGGTCGCTGGTCCTCTCATAGACGGCGTCCACGCTGTCCAGGTTGAGGGGCAAGCCCCGCCAGAACCGGTGGATCTGGGCCGGCTGGAGGGAGACCAAGTGCTTATTGCGGGTCAGTCTCCAGAAGTACTTGCCTGGAGGGACAGAGGGCATTACTGACCCACCCCAGTGCCCACCGCCGTGCAGGACAGGCCGGCACCACGCCATGCATCGGCAGAGGGAAGCGAAGCGTGCGAGACAGGAGCCACAGGCTCTCCAGCAGCAGATGTTGGTACGTTGTGTTCCTGGCAGCTCTTAGAAGAAATCCCCCTTCTGAGGGATCAAAACAACCCCCAGCACTCTGCTGCCTGGGACTCAGCCTGGCTTTCTGCAGGGTGCTGATGGTGCTTTCACCCCAAAGGGCTCCGCACACTGAGATCCCGATTGGAGCAAGAAGTCTGAGAGCGAAGCCTCAGCTCTGCCCCGTGTTTATTACTGCCCATTAGAAATGAGTGCGTGTTATTTACATTTGCTCTTGCATAGGTTCCCAAGGGAAATGAGCAACAGAAAGCAGAGATGTGCCTTCAGATTGGTATTCAGCGCATTCAGCGCTTTCTCCGGAGCTGGCAGATTGTGACACTGTCTTTCAAAATGTTATGGAAATTGGATCCCAGCCTAATAATGCAGGAGGCAAAATTCTAACGCTTAAACATCTGCAGAGAGGGGTTTTTATTATAATTATAAGGATTTATAACATATTCTTGTTCTTCTGCTCCAGTTTGCGTATTTGCTCTATTTGACTGAGACCTACAAATGAATAATACATTCAGATGTGGTAGGAATTGCCATAATTATAGATTCTTTTTAAGAACGTTAAAAAGAAGAGTATTCAGATTTGGTGGCCATTGTACATCTATGGAAATGCTTGTAATTAAATAAAGATGATCTCTGCATCTCTAATTGGAGAGACGCTAGACAAAGATGGATTCTCACTTTAAAAAAAAAAAAAAGAAATCCATCTCAATGTAATTCCTTCTTTAGTAGGTACACTCTGAGCTTCTGAGAGCTGCGTGCTCATTGGCACAACAAGGGAAAGCCCAAGTGCTTTTGACTTGATCGCCCTGTCCCAGCAGTGGGCTCAGCAGGGTGCAGCTGCAGCCAGTGAGATGCACAGCGATGCTCAGGGGCAGCCGTGCTCGGGGCTCTTGGCTGTTTTTGTTGAAAACTATCAGGAAAATAAGATGAGAAGGGTAGCTATATGAATTCTTAATGCAGCAATGTATTCTTAATATGACGGCCCCGCTCTGCCCATGCTCGTGCCTTGTCACAGCCAAGCCTGCTAACCCGAGTGCTGCAGTTGGTTGGATAGTATCAGCCAAAGCCAGGCACGGGGGAGCGGCTGCCATCCGCATGCAGAAATACAATAAAGGAGAAACTCCCAAACCCCATGTTTGTTTAAAGAGCTTGATTTAAAACCACCCTCCAAGCTGGCAAACTGAGTAGGATTAAAGCCAAGTGTGAACTCCTGCCATCCCGAGTGTCTCGTTTTACATGGATGACGGGCTGAGGCAATTGCTTTCTTTAATACGAGGTGATTTTGATTCCAGCTGCGTACCACGCTCTCAGTACTTCAGATGCCTCTGGCAAGATAGCTGCCTGCAAACACGCACACAGGCCAAAGTTGTTCCAAAACTTCAGGAATTTGCAGTCAGGCACTAAAATCAAAGCAAACAGCATTGCAACAGTGTGGGGAACCCACCACTGCCTTCAGTAGGGTAAGTCCAGGGAATTCGGGTTGCTGTGTTGGATGGCACTCAGCGATGCTTCTCTCCAGCCAGGGAACCAGCCGTGCCAGCTCAGAACACAATGTCCATCGGTGGATGGAGCTCATCCCTGGGGCTCACTGCAGTCCTGCCCAGGAGGAGGTGTCCCAGCTCCCTGCTGCACGGCCGGGTGCTGACGGCAGGGCTGCTGCTCTCCAGGGCAGTGTGCAGCTGGCACATGCTGACACTCTGCTCTTCCAATTTGCATTTTGGCCCGCAATAAATATATCCAAAAATAGCTGCCAAGATGGAATTCTCTTTAGTTTTCCTTTTCTTTTTTTTTTTTTTAATCCCCTCTGCAAGACAGATATCTATTTATCCTGCGTACAAGTTCTTGTCTCTCATTTTCTTGTCTTCTCTATGGCTTCTGTACAAATACTTCAGTGGAACAACCTCCATTTTGTGTCCCTCAGACAATACCAAGTTCTTTGGAGCTCTTAAGGGTTACAGTCAGATGGATGCTGCTCTTGATCCCCGGGGAGATGCTTCTGCGTCCTCGCTGGGTGACTTTGGGGTCACCAAGCAGTGGCTGGGAATGGAAAGCACTGCCCACTGGGTGCTTTTTCATCAAGATGAGAAAAAAGCCCATGGAGGCCAGGACAGATAGGCTCTGTGCAGCTGGGGAGGCACCAATGGTATCCTTGTCGACAGCTTGCAACCCCGGGGACACACTGCTAGCAAGTGTTTGCTAACACGGAACCAGATGGTTCTATAATTGTACGTGTGTTGTCTTTGAGTGATGCACAGCAAGTGGCATCAAGGAAGATGAAGTGTGGGAGGAAAGGAAAATTGAAGGCATTCAAGTGAAAAGCAAGAGAGTTCTGCTCGCTCTGCCACCCTTGGTTCTACCCATACTTTGGATCTGATGGTACATATTGTGTGAACATGGTGCAGAGTGGGCCAAGAAGGTAGATGTGCACAGACATTGAAACGATAGATGCTCATCCGCCATCCTTGGCCACTGTGGGCTGATGAAGTATCTCAGAGCTTTTATTTGAGCTGAAATAATTCAGCAGCATGTGAAGCACCTTCCTGGGTCCGAAGGTCCTGCAGGACCCATAGCGCTCTACAGCCTGCAAACTCAGAGCCAGCTTATCCTGATTGCATGCCCTGGACTTTCCAATACCACCTCCGCAATGTCGCATGAATGTCATCACAGGGCTATAGGCATGCTGGGTTACTTACCTTTGAAGAAGAAAGCCTCTCCCCTGATCTGGGCCACCGCATCAAAGTGTGTGTTGCATCTGTTGGGCACATCCCTCCGCAGCCTGCACAGAAATGGCCAGGTTGGTGAGCAGGGGTTGTGCCATCCTGGAGACCCCCTCCCCACCAGCCATGTGCATGAGGATTTCCAAGGTCAACCTGGGCACTCATCAGCCTGCAGATGCCTTTGTGGAACGTGCATTCCCTGGACCACTGATGAGCTGGTGCAGGGATGTGCTCTTCATGCACCAGCTCTACAAAGCTGCTGGGGATAGAGGTGGTCCCACTCCTTGGTGGCACAGCATCAGCTGTCCCCAGGCAGGACACGTGAAGGATGGGAGCCACTCAGCACATCACCGCAGCAGCTGGGGCTCAGAAACTCAGAGCCATATAGCAGAAAGCAGCAGAGACAAAACAGAAGGATGCAGAGGTGAGAAGATGCCACATGATATATGGCAAAAGCCACCTGGCAAGTGGCAGGCTTAGATGCTGAGCTGCCTTTAACAAGGTGGGTGGAAAAGGCACAGAGCATGGAGGACCTAAGAGCTGTGGAGCCCATGTGAGGGATGATGATTGATAGAGAACAAGGAAAGGATGCTGGGAACACGCAGAGAAGAGCTGATGTGGGTGACAGGGAAGCATAAATCTAATTTGCTGGCAGAAGATCTGTGCAGCTAGCACCAGCTTAGGCACAAAGTGACAGATGTGGCAGTGAACTCCATTCACCCTCACAGTCACACATGGGGCAGAAGGAGGAGGTCACTGTGAACACGTTCCCTGTTTCTTCAGATGCTGCTATGAGACCACAGCTCCTACAGCAGTGGGGACCACGGTGCCATGGGCACCACACCAATCAGGACCAGGAGGGGTGTAGAAGATGCTGAGATGGGAGGAAGTAATTGTGCAGAGGTGTTTCCTCAATATTAGATTCTTCTACATCCCTGTTACTGTGGAAATATTCCACTGTTGATGCTCTCGCTGCCATTATCACATCTGTGCCGGAGGGGAATTGGGGCACAGGGACATGAAGTGACCTCCTCAGGGATGCACCCTGGATGGGCAGATCAGGGGGTGAAGGTGACTGGCTCCATCTCTGCTGCTCTCTCTTGGGCACTCCCCGTACCCAGCCAGAATGCACGTGACCATGAACTCCTGCTTTTTGTTCAGTGTCCCTTCCCCTCTTAACTGTCCTGCTGCTCTGCTAGTAATAGCTTGGTAACTCAATGCTTATTAATGAGCCAGATCTGGAGCTTCCCTTAATGAGGGCATGCTGGCTGCTTACTGACACTCTTAGCAGTCCCTTGCCAGCTCAAACTTTAACTCGAGTCAGGCTATCAGACCACTTGCTCCAATATTCACCCCCACAGGTACATTAGGGAGTTGTTCACCGTGGAAAGATTTAGGTAAGTGATGCAGACACTAATCAGGATACTGCTGAAGAAGTCTGATTAACATTTCAGCAAGGGTGGGTTCACCTAAGGGTGATGGGGACAAATTTCCATTAACATAAGTAAAATTTCAAGTCTTAAGGAAATGTAGAGTGTTTCAAGATAATGCAAAATTTCTAGACGTGCCTTGAATTACAAGAATTACCTAAAGGATTAACAGCAACCATCATCTTAACCACTTCAGCTGTGGGCTGGCTTGGTCAGCCTCCCAGTGACTGGAAGTGACTGGAAGATGTAAGGAGAAAGGGACACTCTGTGCGAGTGTGCTTATCAGATGACAAGAGGTCCAGAGGGGAATAGCATAGACAAGATCCTGATGACTAGTGCTATTTCAAGTCATTCACAGGAACATCACAAGCTGGAAAGAAATGAACTTGACTTACGGGATGGTGGAGCGGTTCTCAGGCAGCTCTGGAAGGAGAGGATGGTCCTCAGTTTTGGTCCCTTCAGGCTTGGCTGTTGGGGACACAGATTCTCTGACTCCTGTGTGTAAAGGCAAAGAAGCAGTAGAGAGAAACACACCCTCCCCACAGCCCCACTCACCCCAAAATACAGCTCAGAAACAGGCCATGGCTGGGCAAGGGACAAGGGCTTACCATAGAGCTGCCAGATTCTGACTTTATCCTCATAAGGAAGGTCGTACTTCAGAGGGTCCCCCACTGGACCTTGGTAATAGGGCCTCATGATTGACTCTATGGCTGAGATGTGGGTCAAGCCAATGGCATGGCCAAACTCGTGGACAGCAACAGCAAATAGGTCCATCCCATGAGCATCTGGAAATACATAATTGAAATCAAACTTATTATGTGTTGGATAAACTGGAAAACAGATTTTGGAATAGGTGAAGCGTGAAGAAGAAATGTTTCTCCTGTTGGAAAAAGGAAGCTGAAGTGTGACATAGGAAATGGAAAGCCAGATATCAGTTCACAGTGTGAGTGCTCAATCCTGGACATCAGGGAGAGTTTATTTAACAATGACACCTCCCTGATGACTTCTTTTTCAGTCTGAGCTCTCTCTCTCTCTCTCTTTCCCAGATGTCCTCATTTGCCATCCAACTCATAGTGCCTCATATTGCACCCACACACAGATCCACCCTTCTAACAAAAGGCTCACTCTAGAGCCTCAGATGCTCAGGTCAGATCTTGACAGGGCTTAATGTCCACTTCCAAACCTACATCATCACCGCCAAAACAAAGAACCATTCCCAGAAGCCCTGTGGGGCCAACCCCAGTTGGTGCATCCCTACTACCTGACTCCAGGTGGGCTGGGTCAAGCACACATGCAATTGCTGGTCCTCCCTGCTCAGCAGTGCCCTGTGGAGCTACTTTGATGACTTTAAGTACGATTCTGAGAAAGTTCACAACTGCAAATGTTGTAATGGAATGGCTGGGAAACCAATGTCTCTGCAAATCTCAGGGGAGCCCCATGTTCCAAATCAATGATCCTGAATTCTGTGCTGTTCTTTGCTGTCTCCACAGGGCCCGAGTTGCTGGGGGATATTTTTGCTGAATTCTGCTTTTTCCTTGATGACTATTATTTACAGTGCCTGTAAACAGCCAGGGTGTTTATAACCTGTGCTGTTTTCCTCAGCACTGGGCGAGAACAAGACATATGCTTTCTGACATTTTAATGCCAAACTGACAACCTTGGGGGATATTTTTATATCATCTACCGACCTGTTATTTTTGAATCACCGGGGAGAACAAAATGAATGAAAGACAAAGGTTGGGTAGCTCCAAGACCTTCAAAACAGAGGGCAGCCTTCTCACCATCAGATTCACCACCTTGTTCCTTGGGAGCACTGAACCTACTCCTCCACCTGAGCGCTTAACAGATGATTGCAACCAGCAGGCACAAAAATGGGCACCAATCAATTGCTGATAACACACACGCTAATGGAAGCTACAGGGCCTCAGTGCCTGCCTCTGCCCTGTCTGCCTACAGTGCAGAGTCAGCTCTTGACTGCAGAGCTCTCAGCCCAACCAACCTGATGACCGAAAGGTCCAGTATTCATCATCATCAAAATGAGTGTCCCCTGCTGTGTGATGGTCTCCAGGGAAGAAAGCGTGTGCCACTGTGCCTCCAGGCCCGTCGAAGGGATAGCCGTCGTTGTGATCAGCCTTGGAGAAGTCAATCTGGATGTCGGCGTTGTTGCCTGCCACCTCGTGGAAGTTGAGCGGGGTGATGTCACTCCAGACTTTCAAGGCATAGTACATCAGGGCACGAACTGTGTCGTGGCCCAGGTGGGACTCCTTGGGGAAGGTGCGAACTCTGAAAGAAAGAGGGCAGCAAGGAGGGTAGGAGAGGGGCTACAAACAAGCTACTCCAAGGACCAGCAGGAAGAGATGAGATGCACAAGGAAACCCAGTAGAGATTTGCAGTCCCCATTTATTTCCCAGTACCTGTGCTGGGGCAGCACATTCTGAAACCAGTATGTTGCCAGCAGACTCTGAGACTGCAATCCATAACAAGGAGGAAGAAAGAATGCCTTTGATGTAAATCTCATTCAAAACTCCTCTAAATTCTTGCCTGCAGGACACAGACTGATGGAGCACTGCGCTTGAGAAGCTTTTGCCTTGCTTCTTGGTGGAAAAGGCACTAATTAGTTGAGGCTTACTGCACTACTGCACTCACCAGCACATCCTCACTTCCAGCTTTGCCTTGCCCTGAAAGAGAACCAGGTGGGAGCAGCAGTGTGCTGGCATTTGTCCTGCAGCAGAGCAATTCAAAACCTCCTTTTGTTCTGAGTTGGAATGGAAAAAGCCAGCATTTCCTGCATAACCAAACCTGGAAAAAGAATCCCTAATATTGCTGATTTAATAGGGTGAAAAGTCAAAGATGCAGTGAGGCGCACTGGCTTCAGAAAGAGTATGTTTGGATCATCTCTCGTTGACAATTTAGACAAAAATTAGCACATTTCAGGAAGACTTACTGTTGACCGAGTAATTACTGATGAAAACCAATTCTGCTTGAACATTTCTGGCCAGCTCTACCCCAGTAATAATGGGCACTTTATTTCTTGTGTACCAGCACACCAACCAAAGTGTTCATGAAATATTCATGGCCTGACAGATTTTAAAAGCTGAAGCAACAATTATGATCACCTCACTGCCCTCCTGCATAATATAGCTGGGAGAACATCGCTCAGTATGAGACCACTCCCTGGCCCCAGAGTGCAGCAATGACCTGAACTAAACCTCTAGAGGTAATTACAGGTGTCAGAAAGGGATGTCATGGCACTCAGCTCTTCCTATGAATAGTGATTTGGGTATTGGGAGGCACTGAAGTGAAGGGAATAGGAACAACTCGTTGGCTGAGTTTGGATGCTCTTGCTTACACACATTTCCTTCAAATCCCATGCCCATGGAGCTGCAGCCCAACGTGGGTATCACCTCCCAGCCTGGTCAAAGTTGCAAAAAAAGAGCAAAAATTGGTCAGAACCATGCCTCTGCTGTATCTATGCAAAGAGAGAACTTCAGTAGAAAAATAAATATGTTTGCATACATGCACATCAGATAATCGCAGGACCTCAAACAAAATACATATAGAATGGAGACAGAATGGTGCCAGATTAGAAAAAACACTTTTTAGGCAACTTTTTATGTATGGAAGGGACTATTTATGATCAAGTGGAGAGCAGGTTCCCCCTAATAGCACAGAACACAATTGGTATTGCTGTGATTAAAAGCATCATTCTGAACCTCCACAATACAAAAAAAGTTACCTGATTTCCAGATATTCCTTAACTAAGTATTTTCATCTCCTGAAAGAGTTCTCTGGACTTAAGCAAAGCCTTTGTTGCTTTTATGTCCACTGAGCAAGTAATTACATGCACAAAGCACACCCTGCTTATCACAGGAATTAAGCCATCCCCTCCAAAATCAGGGTGCCCAGGACTCAGGTTTTCTGTCATTATCCATTCTTTCCTCCTCAAGCACTGCTCAACCTTCTGCAGCTGTAGAATAAGGACAAAAAACCTGATCTCCCTGCTAATAGGACGGCGGATGGAAAGCCCTCTCTGAGTAGACAAACATTATTAATATTCATTCCAATCTCTGACTCCAGAAACATTAGATTAAAGCAGAAACGGGATCAACACTTGCTCTGCTTCTTATAAAAGGTCCCTCACCCCTGAGCTGACCCATTTTTATTAGCATGCCACAGGTGTAAATGAACACCCCCCATCCTTTATTCATTACCACTGTTATTTTTCAAGAGAATCCCATCAGGATTTTCAATTCAACATCTGATTTGATTGCAGAAGCTCTGCTAATTGCTTGCAATGAGATTAGGAGAAAACTATTATACCAACAGGATGTTTGTTGGCATTATGTTACCCAGTTCCACTGAACAGGAGGCACATTTCCAGCACAATGCAGATGCACACAGAGATAAATAAGCTCCCTCCCACCTTTATTATTATTATTATTTGTAGTAAATGGAGCTCAGGTACCCAGTGGAGAGCAGCTCTCCTTCCTGGATGTTAACCCTGGTGAGACTGCCCTTAAAGAGTCACGGGTAAAAGCCTAATTTGAGTAATTGGAGAGAAACCTCTTTCCTCCAGATAGACCCAAAGCCACCAGGAAGACCCCAGCGTTGTGGGGTGGGTGAGCTGGAGCAGCAGCCCCTTTGGAGAAGCAGCCCCTTCTCTGATGGAGCTGCAGGCTCCTGCTGGGGGTGGCCTCAGCTGCTGCCAGTCATGTGTTCCCTGGGTACCCTTCTTCCTCAGTTCCATCTCAAGGTGATTTGGGTCCAAGCGGTGCATAAGTAGAGGTCAGAGAGGGCTGCTCCAGCAGGGAGCCAACCATAACGGCTATTCTGATTTCTGGGTTCCTCTTTGGGTTTTATCCTCAGAAAGGCAAAAGCGAAAGAGTATTAGCGATGTACGAGAAATCAATTGCTGGTTAATGAAAGCACTCCTTCATGTTGTGCAGCCCTGATACTACAGAGAACTAAAATAAATGCTGATCACTACTGAGCACTGCAGGCCATGGATTGCCTGATAAACCCACATTGATTTTTCTGAGGGGGGAGGAGGGAACAATTGATGGGGCCACAGCCGTGGTGCAGAGCTGGTGTTACCCATGGCACCCCAGTGTGACGTGAGGAACATCACAGGCATCACCTGCCTGTGCTCAGGGGTGAAAAGAAGAATCCTGAGCAATCTGCATGGCTGTAAGATGCTGTGTGCAGGGCAGTGCCTTCTTCACTGCTACGTGTGCCTGTCCTGAGAGCATCCTTCAGTACGGCTTTGTTGGAAGCTTTATCCCCACCTCTCAGGTCTTCATGTTTTCTTCTCCACCTTTTAAATGCAAGGCGTGATAGAGTTTGGGTTTGTTTGATTTTTTTCTTTTTTTAAACTTCAGTCAATATGTAAAAGGTAAGCACGTAAAACTTTATGTCTCTATTGGCAGATTTTCATGGCAGTTTCAAAACAGCTATTTTAATCTCAAGTGTTGGGTGTAAATACCACGCTGGAGTTTCTACACTGCTATAGCCTTCCCTTGGCTTGTACAGCCCTCAGTCATAAAATATAGCTCTTTCTTGAATGAGAGCCAAGACTCTGGGAAGGATGAAAGGAAAAAAATGCAGAAATAAGTTTGTCAGGAGATGGACTTTTTATACCAGGCATATAACATCATCTCAAACCTAAGGGCTTTTTATTATGGCAATTCATGCAGCAGTCACACAGCACGGCTGGGGGTTTCCTGGGGCTGTGCCCACCAGAAGAGCCCAACCCCTGGGATGGCCACATTTGTCAGCAGTGACCGCCAAGCTGGGATTTGTCACTGTGCTGGGAGGTGGACTCGCTCCGGGCACTACTTCAAGATCAAAGGGAAGTTTATTATTAGTAAGGAAGCCTCACCATGCCATGCACGTGGGTTTGCAGGACCTCAGGGCATCCAGCTCTCTCCAGTGGTTCTTGGGAGAGCACTCACAGCCACACATGGGCTTTCAGGGTGGAAACACAAGTCCCAAAGAGTCCCAAAGGTCTCGGTGGGACAGGGAGAAGGAGTTATTCATTTCCAGACCCTCACCTGCAGCCTAGCTTCAGGATCAGACCTCAACCTTCGTGTTTTGTGGGCCAGCAAACACACACATTGCTCCATGGCTTTAGGGAAAATATATTCTCCTGTGGCAAGGACTAGAAGAAAGGGACCAGATGCCTCCATTACCCAAAAAATGCTCCCGGTGCTTGGACTCAGGTGATAAGATCAAGAGAAAAAGGCATATTTGTGCCAAGCCAAATCTTTGACAGCTGCTTGAGAGGGTGCAAAGCCCCAGGAAGCTCATGAGAAATTACACACTGCAATGCAGCAAAAAAACAGCAAAAAGCCTCTGCTGGCCTGTGGCCACGCAGGTCTGTGGTCCTGCGGCCAATGGTTGGAGCTCTTACCTCCAGGACAGATTCCTCTTGTTCCACTTGGTCACAGCCTGCGTGTGCCGCTTCCTCCTGGCTGCTGGGCCAGCCATGTCGGGCAGGGAGCAGCGAGGGGTCTTCATCAGCTCCAGCGTGGCCTCATCTGGTGGTGAAGGAAGGGAAAAGATAGGTGTAATGGGAAAGCTGCAGCTACGGGATGAGAAATACCACAGCAGCCACCTCCACCAGCTGGTGGCAGTGATTGGGGCCATAACCCGAGCCCACCCACCAGTCCTATTTCCAGCACCCCTTCCCATGCAGCAAACACAGTTGCAACAGCAAGCACAGCCCTTTTCCTGGGCCTCCTGCAGCCTGCGAGGGGGCGGAGGAGAAATAATTGCAAGTGCTTAATTAGGAGCAGAGGGGAAAGTCTCAGTGCTGCTGAGATGGGGACGTGGGCAGCAGCTGCTCGAGTGGCACCGGCTGCTCCAAGGGCTGTGCATCTGCTCGCTAATTGTCTCCTTGAATGGCGGCAGCGCAGTTGGCAGCAGGAGGTCACGGCCACGTCCGGGTGGCAACATGCAGGGACAACGGCAGCCCGAGGGCAAACAGGGAACCATTCACCACTGGGATAAAGCTGGCTTTCTGCTGTCCTCAATAAGGGCATTGAGCGGGTGGCCCCACCACGCTGGGCAGCTCCCGCCAGGCTTTGGGCAGCTCCATCCCGGGTGGATGCGGTCACCCCCACTGGTGGCTGAGCCATCATCCTCCCCTGCGCTGTGCTCTGGTGGTGGGGAAACCAAATCGCTCCCTACTCAAATTCAGAAGTTCAATCGGAATTTTTGTTCCATTCAAATTGAGGCTGCAATTAAAGCTTTGAACAGAACAACCTATCAGCCTTAGTTTCTCTGTCTCTTTTCTTTCTGAGCACATCAAGAGCTATTTTAAGCTATTTTAAGCACGACAGTAACCCCAAGGGTGTGTGGGTCTGGTGAAATAATTGCTTGCCTCAGGTTGCTGAAAGCACAAGGCAACAAAGCACCTGAGCCATGTAATTACTCTTCCAGCTGCAAACAGGGCCGTCTGTCAGCCACGTGTTGGTTCCTGGGGACGATGCTGCTCTGCATCATGGCAGCTTCCAGCCTCTCCCCTCCATCCCCTGTTCACCCACTCCTGTGCCACCCACTGACCGAGGACCCCCGTTGCCTCCAGCCCCCCGAAGCGCTGCATGGCCGTGATGGCTTTGGTCAGCTCCTCCTGTGTCTGCAGCTGTCCGGTGACGGGATCCGGAGGAGGCAGATACCCAAATTTCGTCAGCCAGTCCTGTGACACAAGGGAAGGAGGATGAGAAAGGGGAAGGGGTGAAACACATACGTAGAGAGGGAAGTGTTCAAAGTCCTGCCCGTTCTGCTTGGAAATGCCATTCCCATTTACACGTTTACAGCTGGCTTCCCTATTGAACAGCGTGGCTCCTGTTGACAAATGAAGATGTCACAACGGATCTTTATACGCTGCTTAAGTAGTGGGACCTGGTGATCTTCCTGCATTCCGGTGCTGACATCTCATTTTCCCATCTGTTTGCAGTGCAGGCCCAGTAGTGGCGGCAGCAGGACCCTGCCCCATGGGGTAATCCTGTTGCCTTTTATTTACTGGCAGTGCTCAGGGGAAACCTGCTGCTGGGATGAGCAAGGAGAGGGGATGAGAGCATCCCTGTGGGAACAGGACAGGGCCTCCACTGCTCATGAGCCAGCACCAGCTCTGCAGTCCCCTCAGAGCAGCTTAGGAACTGTGGTTAAAGAGCTTTCCTTGAACTTCAGAAGTGTTTTGGTTGGAAACAAGCTAAACGACGAAGCCCTAAAATGGAAAATAGCCCTAAAATCAGAGACAGTCAATTGGAAACTGAGATTCATGGAGATCAAAGTGAACCAATGCTCATGGGAGAAAATTAACATCTACCCCATCCCAAAGCTGGAGCCCGATCCCTACTGAAGCCACAGGGATGTTCCCAGAGCCTGTCATTCACAACCTGAACCACAGTAGCACCCCCACAACTCAGTGGGTGAAGCAAAGAGTGCTGAAGCCCATGCGATGCCCACATATTCAGCCAGCACTGCCTCTCGCCATCACACTGCCACAAGTGCCTCGTTAAAATGCCACTATTCGATAGGAATTTGTCTTTGAAGACACAGCACACTATTATGAAGAACTTTCTCTTCCTCTTTTCAGCCTCGAACTGATGAAAATACTACCGTAAATCTCATTCTTGCAACTGCTTTTTAAATGTCTGGTCAATTATCCCCCTAAATCCATCCTTGCCTTCCTACTCGCCGATATCTCCACCTCAGCACAGAATAACACAAATGCCAAAAACGCCATAAATCCTGCCCTCTATTTTCTTTATCTGTATCAAAGAAACATTGATCCATTGAACCTCTTGAAGACTGATATTGATCTCGACTTCCACTACGGTCGATACACCACAAATTTATGGTAGTTAGATCAGTGCCAGGAGTCTGTATTTGCTTATCACTGAAATTGGAGACTCTCATCTTGGTTTTTCCTACAAGAGCCATCCTAAATGCCACAGAGCCCCCAGCCCTGCTCTGGCACCTCCTGGTAAGGCACCCATAACAATGAGCCGCTGCATCCCATATTTGCTGGGGCAGAACATTTCTTCAGGAAAAAAGCAGTTGGACTTGGAGATGAGAAAGACCAGCAGGAAATGTCCAGTTAATCAAGTGTGCCCTGTGAGAGCTTCTCACATCTTTTCTTGTCCTTAATGAGGACAAAAGCTAAACTCATGAACTTTCATAAATGGGAAATATGAAAACATCTTCCACTGAGACAACTTCAACGTATTCGCTACTTATTTCAGCCTTTTTTTTTTTTTTTTACATTAAAAAGATCTTTTTTTTCCAACTCTCATTACCTTAAAATGTTTAATGAAGCAGTGGTTTGAGCAGAATGCTAAAATTCTTTAAACATATTCCTTGCCTGAGTTGACACGATAAAAACTTCTCCTTAAAAATGTGCTGAGTTGAACGAATTGACCTAATTCCATGAGAGACAGCAACTCCGTGTTTTCAAGAGGGATAAAATTGCTTCTCCAGAAGGTTCAGACCGAGGGGATAACTTCAGCTCCAAAGCAAGCTGGGATCAAGCAAGCAGCAGACACAGCCATGGTGTCATCCCAGGTGGGGATGTGCGCCTTATGGGGCAGGTGATGCCCTGTGTGGGTGTCCTACCTGCTGCAAAGTGACACTGCTCCTTTGAAAAGCTGCCTCAGTGACAGTGCAACAGCACGTCTGTTTCCTCATGTCCTTGACTAAAAATAAAAGGAACCACTTTCTCATCTGGGTCCCCCACGTCCCTGTGGCATAATGGGAAAAAGAATGCTTTGTGCCCCATGGTTAGCAGAAGCTGAAACTGTGGAATTTATATGTATATACATGTATTATTTTGTTTGTTTGTTTCCATTTTCAGAAAGCACAGATTTGGGAAAAACACTCATGAAGTCCTCTTATGCTCTGCAGACAAAACCTGCTGCAATTTTGGACTTCTTTGCTGCTCAGGCACTTTGAACTGAACGCCAGGCAGCGAGGCTGCTGTGGAAGCATCCAGGGATAAGGGCTCTCCAGGGCTGGAGGAAAATGCTGGCTCCAGCAGCAATGAAATCTTGGTATCACTTATACAGAGCCAATTTTCAGATTAAAATGGCAATTTCATTTCTTTCATATCTCCACTTCCTTTTTATCAGTACCCCTTTGTCCTAGAACCTACTTACCTGCTTCATTTTGAAATAGATGTAGATTTTGTCCTTCTTTTATGGAAGATTTATGAGCTCTGTAAGTTTGCTTTTACAAATATTAATATTATATAAGCTGATGGGCTCACTCAACTGCTACAGGCAAAAAAAGGAAAAAGACTCAATCAGCAAATTTTCTTCTAGAAGAGTTCTTAAGGGTCATAGGTTGGTGTTGACAAGAAGACAAAAGAGTTCAGGATAATGAGGGGAGCATAAACAGGATAAACAGCAAAATCAGGACAAAGAAAAAAACTCTGCCCAAGCCCGTTCCACACTTCTGCTCTTGTGTTATGCTTCTAAAGCCCAGCCAGAAATGAATCAGAGCCTTGGAAGAGTGGGATGCAGCAAAGCTGCCCATGGGATGCTGCCAGCGTCACTTTGTGCAGGGGACGAAGAGCCAAACCAAAGTTAATGGCCCAGATCACCAAAATAAAGCTACAACTCAAACACCCGGAACTAATTTCCAAATTACATTTTGCTTTATCTCTGTTGCTACCATTAAATAGGTTGGAAGCATTTAAAAAAACAGAAAAAAAAAAATCACCGCCACCGAAAGCTGGATTAAAGGCAAGCGACTTTTGTCCGCTTTGGTTTTCCTTCTGAGTTTTCAATGGTTTACAGTATTCAAATTTTACAGTAATTTTCAGGAGATCAACAACCAAAGGAACAGCACCCATTAATTAGAACATCGCATATGGTGCTGCAATACTCCAAGGAGCATGCTCCTGTGATGCAACAGCCTCCGGGCCACGCAAAGTCAATGATTTTCTTCCAAAGGTTGACATGTACCTCTCTAATGAGCTATTGTATGCACGTAATCAGCTGATTAATTCGTTAGGAGAAAAACTGCCGTTTGGATTAGGACCAGCATTCCGGTCGCCGTCACCTTTGAACCGCAGGAAGAGTTTCATTAGCTCATGCTGTAGGAGCTGGTTGCATCCAAACAGCTTTTTAATTGGCTGTGCACAGTGTCCAGGGTGGAAGTCAATGCAGCTGCTGCCCATGCCCTCCCCCTCCCCTTGCTTTAAAGGCTCGCTCAGGTTAACAACGGTGGCACTGCAAAAGGCCACAGCCTCCAGCTCCTGCAGACAGCAGGCTGCTTGCCCAGGTCTGCAGCAGACAAATTACATCGTGTGGTGACATCAGACATGGGACATCCAGGTCACTAAGGAGTATGGAGGAGAGCAGCTCTGCTCCTGCACTGCTCAGTTCTCTGCCATCCCCAGGAATCAGCCTGGCTGCAAACTAGACTGGCCACTCACAGGGCTGTGTTGCCATTCTCTTGCACGTTCGTGAGACCAGACCACCTGGGTTTGGAAGCCAACATCCCCTGGATGTGATGCTACACACAGTTCTGGCCTCCCTTTGGCTGGACACATCCTGAGCACCATCCCAGAAACCCAGAGGTAATCAAGGGATGCTGCAGAAGAAGATATAAATCCTCTGTGGACCAAACAAACCGTGTTTTCAGCTTCTTTGAACTGAAGATCAAAGAATCGATTCCCATCCATACAAGGCAGGCAGAATAGGGGAGCAGTGCTTACTAGAGTTGGTTTATGTTTCTTTCCAGAGAACGAAAAACTGACAAAACTTAAAAAAAAATACAGCTACTTCTGTATTTTCAATATGAAAGTGTGTTTCCCTTTGCGAAGCTTTAAGACACTGGGCTTTTTGGACCAATTTCAATCACCAGAAGTTTTTCATCACATCCCAAAAATTTCCATGCAAAGGCAACAAATGATGAAACATTTTGTGTAATTAAAACTCCACAGGACATCAAAAAAAGGAGTTTCAATGGGAATAGGAATAGAGGATTTTTTTTTTTTAATCAAATAGTTTTACGTAATGCTGCCTGTCACGGTGAAACATCTTTGTTGCCAATTAGTTATTTGGAAAGGAAAAGAGGAAAATACAATAGCCCATGGAGCTGCGGTGGGATGCTAGGTAAATGACCAAATTAACATTCTTTTCTCTCTCTACAAAAACAGCTCCAAACCATGCAAGCTGTCAGGTAAGGTCATCTGTGAAGGCAGCCCTGCTCCTGTGCAGCTGGTGTGTGGTCAGTGCAGCCAGTGGGATGTATCAGCTTGTCCCTGCACCAGGCTGCCCTGAGCTGCCCCGTGGGTGAGGCATCAAACCCAACCTCTGATGCAGCACAGAGTTAAAGGAAACGTTGCCATCTGCAGTTCTTCCAGCATTTGGGAACCCAGGAGGAGTCCCTTCCCTATGTGCCTGGCCGCCATCCACACGTAACCAGGGGAGAGCTCTCCCTGCTCTGCACAGGGAAATAAATCAAGGCATGAGGCTGCCTTGCCCCCGAAATCTCTGTATGAAGGAAAATCCAGGCCAAGACTTTTCAAATCCAGGGATTTCTGGGCACAGGACACAGAAACGTCCATACTTTCCTGGATGGATTTCACAAGACTCAGCAGAGTGAGGAGCAGCCGGCGGGGAGCAGAGCCAGCTGGAAGGTGGTCCTCAGGAAACATCTGCTGGGGATGCACCACGGGAGCAGGAG